TTTTAATACAATATGTCAAAAAATTAGTTTAGAATATTCCGTTGTGAGCATTTAGTGTTGTTGTTCAATATTTTCTCTCTCTCTTTTTAACGTCTGATGTTGTTCTTTATAACTTCTTGAAATTTAAAAAAATTCATTACTTCTGACCAACTATTTCTAGGGAGAATTTCTTAGGCTTCTTTCTTATGCTTAAAATTTATTGCCTTATAATTTTTGCATAATAAAAATGAAAATTAAAAAACTAAGCATTTTAAGATTTCGGAGGAACATTTTGCCTTAAGATAAAATATTCTTGACAATGTAGTGTATGTATCGAAAATACAAATATTATTGAATGATCATATGTAAGCTTAATAAAATAGTTCAATCCAGTGCGAAGCACAGACAATTTACCTAGTATAAATACAAAAACAACAAAGGAGCAACAAGTAGCACGTTAGGCCAACACAATATATCTAATAAAATAAAACAAAAGTCAATATACAAAGCTCGAATTGTGGTTACTCCCAAGCGGAGTCACCAGATATGTCACACTCCTTTTCGCACACGCAAGTGTTTTTTCATTTTAAGTGACATTATTGATTAGAGATTTTCTTTTCTTCAAAATCTCCACTTGGAATTGAGTTGTAGTGTTCTAAGTCACTTTTTTTGTTTAATCCCTAATAAAAAGGAAATGACTCTTTATTTGATTTGCGGACCAGAAATTTGAGCAAGAAATTCTAGTGACTGAGGGGAAGGTATTAGGCATCCCTCAAATCCTGCGGTAATAACATGGTTGCTTTTATTGACTTCTACCTACTTTTAAATTATTTGTGGACACATTTTATATGCTACGATTTCACTCATATTTTTATTGTTGAACTTTTATTTGGTTATAACCTAGATGCGTAACAACATTCGTTGTTTTGATATTTAAAGACATAATAGTCTTCTTTCATCATACTTAGTAAATTTATTTTTATAAGTCTCTATTTTCAATTAATAAAAGTTAATTATATTATTAGACAAGATGTGTCACCACATCCTAGAGTTTATTTTAAATTGTATCAAAAAATATGCGCAACCACATTTTTATTGACAAAAATCTTTTCAAAATGTGTATAAAAGTTTGTTTAACGTTAAAAATAATTATTTTCCTTTATAAATCTTAAACAACTTATTCAATGAAAGTCATTACTATTAACTCCGACTAACTTTGTATAAGGTCCAATAAGTTATATTTAAATAGTAAACAAAATGATATGACTTGTGATATAAGCTTTCTTAGATTAAAATTTGAAAAAGGTAACACCAACTAAAATTGTTTAGCAATATGTAGTAGTTCAATTTATAATTCAATCTATCTTAAGCCAAAAATTGTTATTTTTTTTTCAAAACTCCATGTACTAACTCTAAATTCTCAATTAATTTTTTATATTCAATGAAATTCTACGTGACATTAACTAAAAACTTTTCAAAGTATAAAAATTGTACAACAATAAATAATAAAAATATATTTAATTGCAAATTAAATTCATTTCAATCAAATTATAAATGATATAAAATTGTATATAAAAAAAGTATCACAAAATTACATTAAATTTCATAGTTAAAGTAAAGAAATAAGATAGAGTTTAACCTTAAATAGAGAGAATAAATAACGAAAAATTTTGACTGAAGCTCTATTTAACCACCCGCGAAACTTTTTGTATATGTGTTGTATTTGTATATTTGTGTGTTTTGGTATTTGGGATTGCTGATTTTTTCTTTTGCTGCCTTCTTGAAAATTATTTTTTTTCGTTGCTATGCGTATATAGTAGTGTATATATGTGCAAATTTTTTCATTTTCTTTTTTTTTTTGGGTTTCTCGTGTATGTTAAGATGGTTGGATGATTGTTTCTTTTTTTTCTTTTGTTTTGTTGTCGTGTTGTAGTTTATAGGAGTGTGCAGATAAGGTTGTGAAGTGGTGTATGGTG